CTCATATTTTCTATCGCTTAATGGTCTCAGCGTGCTTGATTTATTAGTACACAAAGAAAGAAAAAAATAGACGTATCGCGAGGAAGAGGAGATGAATATGTTATTTTAAAGGAAAAAATTAATTAAACGATATATAAAAAAAAAAAATTTCACCTTTTACAAATTTTCAATGATTTGTTGAAATTCGTATAATTAAAACACGACGTAAATTGGTCTAATTTTACTAGTGATCTAGTAACTAATCAACGTTATCTATAATTACCTATGATAAAGTTAACTGCTAATAAAAACTAATTCGATTTACGTCATGTTTAGACTCAATTTCAATTGGAAGATTTTCATCGAAACTTGTGAGAATATTTATTGATATTTGGATAAAGAAAGTACGAAAATTATTCGAAATAAAATCTTTTCTATTTTTATAATTTTATAATTTTATAATTATTTTTTTTCTCTCATCCATTTCTGTCATTCTTTTAAACTTTTTAACAGCACGACAATGTACATTTATCTCTAATTCACATAATACGTGTTAATATATCTCATCTTTCAAGAGCTAATTTACGAATACAAAAGTTGATATATAAAAAATGATAATTGAAGTTTATTTATTAAATTATAAACGATTCAAGTTCATGCTAGATAAAGTAATGTACAAACCAATTCTATTCTATTTTCATTTCGCTTGAATTGCTTATAACTTAATAATCGACGTTATTATATACCAATTTTTATTTATTTTGACCGATCTGTAAAATTGACTTTTCAAAGGTGTTATACGAATATACATACTTTATATATTTATTCTCATAAAATTATACTCGAATCAATTTCTGAAACAAAATTGCAAATGAATTGTCTCGAATTTAAAATTAATGCAATATTGATTATTTAATTTGATTAGATGATGGTTAAATAAAGAATAAATGATTTCTTTGTCTCTTTTAAAAGATTGATGTGATTGAAAGACTTGCAGCGTTCCATGATCAATAAACTGTCTCTTCTTTTCAAATTAGTTTTTAACCAGATTGAAGTAATCACACTGATTCGAATAATGTGTTTCGTGAGAAATTATTATTTATACGAAGATTTTTATATTTTTAAAAGATTTATCTAGTTTTAGTATCGTGTTAGTTTTTAAATTGTGATTAATTAGTACATAATTAATATCAAATAACTATTTCATTTTCGATCGATTGAATTTGCATCACTATGATTCTCAATCTTTTGAAATGTGCATTTGACAAAAAAAAACTTTTAGTAACTTTTATTACAAATTGTTTATTTCATAAAATCAATCGTTTATAACGAAATTTCCTTCAAAATAGAAATATTATTTTTAATTTGTGAATGCATTTTTACAATATTTTGAAATCACTTTCAATTTTTTTTTTAATAAATCTTGTTAATTTAATCATTTTTATTTACTTTTATCACATTCAAAAATTTTTCCAAGCCAAAATATCTAGAATCTAATTCTAGCTATCTAGAATTGTAACTGTTCTATTCATCAGATTAATAATCAATTAACTTTTTTCAAAGATGTATTAAGAAAAAAAAATATCTTGAGATACGAAAAAAGTATTGAAAACAATTCCAAAATAGACTTGCAAAAATTCACAGTCGGAAAAATTATATATTGCTTCGAGCAATATATATTTACAGGAAGAGATTTATCGTAAATTTTGTGCTTTGAAATAAACGAAAAGTTGACAAAGATCTTCCAATTTATATTTATATTACTGAATCAATTGTTTTTTAATAATAACATATCAGATTATAATTAATAAAAACATAAATTTTATTTTTTATTTTATGCACATAGTTTTTTTAGAATAAATTAAATAATGGAGAAAGTTTATCATCGTAAAAATATTTAGATGCAACGAGCAACTTATATAAATTTAATATTAATTTACAAACAATGTGTACTAGAAAGAAATGAACGATTCATTACAACCAATAAACTCGTTGTGTTTGGATATTTTTATTTTTTTAAAATTAAATTTCTTCATTATTTAACTCATCGTATGAATATTGTTAAATAAATAAATCAAATAAATAAAATTTATTTCCACACTAACTAAAATATTAAATTTAAAACAATATTAAAAAACAATCAAATTCAATGATACAAATATGCACTGCAATAATCTCTCGCATACCCCAATATTCAAATATTAATTCATGATATAATATATTATCTTCTATAAATTTCACTATGATCTAATGTAAAACCACCAAATTAATTTTTACAATCGAAAACCCAGACAAATAGGTATACATAGGAAGGAAAAGAAAGGAAAAATATTAATTATAACAAATTTTGAATTTTGAACATTATATTTCACATACTTTTCACTTTGTAATTTTTATCACTTATCATTATCTTCATATTAAATTTTTTTTCTGAAAGCTATAAGAAATTGGAATATACGACAAAAAAAGTGGAAAAAAATAAAAAATTATGTTATTTAAAATTATGAATGTTTTATTGAAATATCGTGACGTTATATTGAAAAATTATCCTTTTCCTGAATATTCTTCTTTCTCTCGTAAACATTTACAAAATTTTACAAATTGTACATTATCTAATTTCTCTTAAAGTGCACAATATCGAAATTATATCCTGTCCTAATAGGCTTGAATCTACAATAATATTCGAAACGAGAATAGTGTGAAAGAGTGCGAAATGAAAAGGTCATGCAATCCGAAAATCCATAACCGTCCCCATTACAGTTGCCAAGTATCGCGCTTGCGCAATTTCGATATCGAAGAAAACACATCTAATGGTCCATTCCCGCTGCAATACACTTTTCCACGCTTACCGAAACCATTTCTCCTTACAGAAACACGTGAAAAATCTTGTTGCTAATATTGTAATATATTAAACTGTTGCTCTTCATTCAGAAAACTTACTCTTAATTTCGATCTCTTTTAATATCGATGAGCAAAAAGCAAAAAATATTTTATTTCATACTTCGTATTAAATGATTGATTATTTGGAATGTAATAATTAAATGTTCTGTTAAATTAATGTATTTATTGCGCGTTTGAATTTGAAATTCAAAGATGGCTGAACATAATTTAAACGGTATTTTATTATTTTATTATGTAAAAATAAATTACTTATTACAACGAACTTTGTTTTAGCATAGAAAAGAATCAAGAGTTATTATCAAAAAATTATTAATAATAATTAATCATAAGTTTTAATTACAAGCAATAATTTCAATTTTGTTTTTTAATAAAATAGAATATATTGAATGATTATATTTATAATTATATCAAACTTTTATTAATGTATATATAATATTTTTTAATATTAACATCTAAATTAACATGTCTTTCCTAATATTTGTTGAAATTTCAAAAATTAACTTATTTTAAAATATGTTAATTGAATGAAACTTTGAATTATGCTACTTTTCTGATCATGTTTAGATTAAAAAAATCTAAAAGTTTTGATAAATTGATACGCCAGTATATCATATGGCAATGTTAATTATTAATATATTTATGTGTGTTTAATTCAATATTTCGAATTTTCTAGAAGATCTTGGAAATAAAACAGCAATAATTATAATATTATAATTATTGTCCAAATTATTATACATTTTTGAGTAATTTCCAAAGTATGTATTGTACGAACAAATTTTTACAAAATTACATCACATTATATGATTTATTTATTTTCAAAAAAAAAATCATCTTTGTTATTTTAAATGGAATGTATTTTTCTTTATTCAAACATATAAGAATGTTGAATTTCAAACAAGAAATATACAAGTATAAAATGTTTTCGCATACTTCAAAATTATTTCAAAATGCTTTGTCTATCCTCTCTATATAAAAACGAAGTTCCACTGCTATTGTTAAATATTCTCACCATGTTCCTATGACGCTAGTATATCATATGTTATATAAATGCTATTTCTATAATGATTTGTATATTGACGAACAAAAGATTTCTTATATTATTTCTTCTTATATTATCGGTAATTTACAACAAAAAAAAATATAAATAAAAAATTCTGATTTTAAAGAAAGTTTATAGATACATGGAGTATAAACGAATATTTTCGTCAATGGAAAATTTCTTTAGAGGGATGAAATCAATGCTTCTTTTCAAATATAGTTTTCGCCTAGTAAAAAATCAGCTCAAATTTCCGGTGCGTGCGTTTTCCATTTTTTTAAAAATAACAATGTGAGATAGAGCAAAATTTTAAATCTAGAAAATATTCAGAATTTAACATTCTATCAATCTGAAAATGTAAAAAAATTTCCAGACAAAATTTTATTCAAAATATGAAAAGTTACTGCAATTTTGGGGATTGATTTCATTCCTTCGGAAAAAGTTTTTCAAAAAAAAAAATAAATAAATACAAGTAATAATTTTAACTTTGTTTTTTTATAAATATCGAATGAATTATATCAAATTTTGATTAATATTATTTTTTACTTTTACTGTTACGCCTAAATCAACATGTTTTTTCTCATATTTGTTGAAATTTCAATAATAATATTTCAAAATATGTTAACGAATAAAACTTTAAATTATGTTATTTTCAATGTTTTTGATTCATCATGATATATGTACCCTATTATGTTCTACATATACATAAACTTTCATTCAAAATTAATAATTTTTGAATTAGATAAATTCCGTAATAGAGCAATCCACGAATTTTTTTTCCGTATATTATAAAAATCTCACATATTTAAAAAAAATACGCGCACATTTGTCAACTTGAACAAAGCGGAAATTAAATAATCGCGAGGATTAAATAATTCGTAAAACGAGAGAGAAAGAGAGAAAAAAAACTGGCCACGGGCTTAAATAAATAAAACTAGAAAGAGAGGAGGGGAAGAGAGAAGGAGAGGGAGAGGGAGGGAGGGAAGAGAGAGAGAGAGAGAGAGAGAGATTATGCTATACGTCCAACTTAACGCGCCAACGATTTTCCAAGATACAAAAAAGAGGGTTAGGAGCACTCACTCACCGATTCAGGAAGCTACGACAACAAGTTCCATGTCCCTCGCAAGTGATCTCTGTAATAAAAAAGTCAAAGCGAAACAATATAATTAACGAGACACTCGAGAGGCAAAAGCGGTGAAATCGTATAATTGTGACAGGGGAAGAGAGAGAGAGAGAGAAAAAGGGAGGAAGAAAAAAAAAACGGAAGGGGATGCGGATGAATCGGTTTCTCCGCGAACGAAAAAAGGAAAAAAAAAAAAAGAGGGTACTTGGAGGCTTCGTCACCCTCGTAGAC